CATTAGTTGGGCATACCAGTGCACATTCATAGTCCCAGCTACTCAGGTGCCCGAGGTGGAAGATCACTTGAACCTAGAAGTTCAAGGCCAATCCAGGCAATGGACTAAGACGACATCTCATCTCAAAGCAAACGTGTTTCTCTTCATCTGGAGAGAGGAATGGTAGCAAAAGCAGAAAAAAGCATAGGACCTGCTAGCTGGGGTCTAATTCTAGCACAACTATCTTTCAGATGCATGATGTTAGATGGGCTACTTGGCTTCTCCTAGCCTGTCCCTCCGTTCATTTAGAGAGTGGTAGCCCTTCCTAAGATTGTTTTGAACATCAAACAATAGGAAAGGGTCTGGTACACGGCAACAGCATAATGCATGCCTATTTCTGTTCCAGATTTTGGAATATTGTTCTCCCCAAACAGCTTCCAAAGTTTACCGTTCGTTCATCCTTTGGAACTTGGATTTAGGGATAACAAAGTGCTGATCTACATCTGCTGTGTGGCTGGGATGCCTTGTGTGCAGAGAAGCAGGACATAGCTGGACTTTCTTTTGGGACCACCAGCCCACAAATAATGATGCAGAGACTTATTAATTACGAGAGCTTGACCTTTAACTTAGGCTTGTTCCCAATTAGCTTTTATAATTTATATTAACCTGTTTCTATTAATCTATGTTCTGCCTCATGGCTTTTTACCTGTCTCACATTTTGTCAGTCCAATCTGCTCTGCACCTCACTAGGTGAATGGTGTCTCTCACTCACCTAGATTCTAACCTTGAGCTCCTCTCTGCCCAGAAGTACTGCCTATTCTCTGCTGCCTAGCTATTAGCCATCCAACTCTTTATTAAACCAATCAGAAGGCACCTTAAATCTTCACAGTGTACAAAAAGATTATCACACCACTGCAGGGAGGTGGAAACGAGACTTGGGGTCAGAACCCTCCAGAACTGGGGCCATATACTTCCCTTTGCACTAGCCAGAATGGATTAAGCCTGAGTGCATCAGTAGCTCAGCCTCGTCCAGAAAAATCAATAGGGCTTCCCTGTGTTGTGCAATGTGTAAGTTCCTGAAAAGTCAGAGCTAAATCCACCTCCCCTCCAACTCAACCAGTCCTGAGCACCAGGTGTCAGCTCAGCACACTGCTGAGGCTACAAAGGACATGTGCTCACACCCACGCCCCTACCCCAAGTCAGCAAAGATTCTGGCTTCTAGCTCACATTGCCAGTGTACCAGAGGAGTTGGCAAGTAACACCATGTGGTAGACATTGTTACAGAGCCAGGATCTCCATTTAACCGGGAAGAATCACTTCCTACTTGCATCCTATTGACCAATACGTTTGTTTTATTCATTGTCTTGGGCTTCCATGTAAAGGCCTTTCGAGTTCTGGCCCATGGCAAGCCTTCATAATCCTGGTCACCTCTCGTTCACGTACAAGCCAATTACCCCAAAGCACTTTTTCACAACTGTATCTACTTCTGTTCCTTGCAGAAAGAAAAGCAGACCTTATTCCCTTCTCATAGGTGAGGCAACCGAAGTACAAAAGGAGCAGTTGGCTTGTCTGGTCAGTGCCTGGGAAGCCGGAGGCAAGTTCAGTCCACACTTAGCATCAAAGAAAGCCCCAGGACCAAATCAAGACAACTTCTCTTCCCTATCTCCTGTCCCACCAGATGGCAGGCTCAGCCAGTGGTTCGTGTGTCCATCCCCACACACATAGCTTCAGAGCATAAGTTCCTGCGTCCTTGGGCCATCCACAGCCTATTGCCTTCCAGGGCCTTTTGCTTAAACTCTGAAATGTATCATGGAGTTTCTGGCCCTGTCTCTGCCTAAATGTTGTCCCCCCCTCCCCCCACCCCCCAACGGTCTCTTGTAGTCTACAGTTCCTGCGGGCGACCCTTAATCCACGGGCACTTGCTGAACCCCTCTTACATGAGAGATCTTGAGCTGCATCTAGGGAGTGCGGCTCAGTGGAAGCGCCACAGAAGGTGTGACTTCACTGTACACCTCACTACAGGGGCTGGGGAAATATGGGTGCTCTGTAGGATGTGTGAGCGCCCATTAGCGCTCCGGTGGGAGGGAGTGTTGCGGGCAACTGTGCAGAGGTGTGAATTGGAGGTGTGTTTGGGGCCCTGCCAGGACCTGGCATGGGTAGGACAGAGAGCAGATGAGAAAGACAGCCTTGAAAAGGAAGTGAGACATGAATGAAAGTCTGCTGTCCCAGTATGGGGCGTGGGTTTTCTCTGTGAGTCAGGCCATGGCTTGACGTGACCAGGTTTAAGATTCACCGGTCATAGTCGTGCATTTAAAAAAAGAAGAAGAAGAATTAAGGGAGCAGAGGGCAGCTTTACTTTGTGTGTACCTGTAACTGCAGCACTTAGTAGGTACCCTGACACGTAGTAGGTATTTGCTGTTGCCCGAAAGGCTCAGTGCTCAGTGCAGAAATCCAGGGTACTGCCTTGCACTAAGTTAGGGGCAGGTGGAGAAGGACAAGGGGCGGCACAAGGAAACAGAATCCAGGTTTACTAGAAAGAACTTAGTATGGGGAACTGGTCCCAGAGGTATTGGAAAAAGCAGGAATAAAATAGAACAAAGCATAGTGCTGAGGGTGACAGAAATTAACATCAGGAAGTGGCTGTCACTCTAGGACTAGGGGACAGGTGTCACCCCATCCCAGGAGCCAGAATCCTTACAGCCTGCTGGGCTTATGCAGAGAGGGTGTCATGGGCCGGGGTCTCATTTAGAAACGAGAAACAGAATGCTATATGGCAGGAGTAGTATCTGGGCTTACTGCAATCTGAGAAGGCTTCAGTGGCCTCCAGCTGGGAGCTTGGAAACTGGAAATGCAGAGGAGGTACCTGCCCTGGAAGGACCCAGACATCATTCTTCCGCCTGGCTGTGAGGAAGGCAATGTGACTCTTTCCATCAAGGCAGTTCCCAAAAGAGCTTCTGCTATGCCCATGCAGCAATCAGGGAGGAGAATCCAGTCTCAAAGAGAAGGGTAGGTGTGTGTGTGTGTGTGTGTGTGCGTGTGTGTGTGGTTAATCACCAGACAGGATGCTACAGCAGGATGCCCCAAGCTGGGAGAAGGAGGTCTCCTGGTAACTAACTCTCCTGCCTCCCACCTGCTCATGATCTTCCAGAGCCTCCCACTGGCCATACTGGGCAAGAGAGTTCGAGAAGGCCATTCCAGAGAGCTGAGCAGGGTAGGAGAGGACACATTTAGCTGAGGTGTCCTGGAACAATGGTGGTCTGTGGTGTTGTGAAGGGAATAAGATGAACCCACTCTGTAGGTGGGGACCACCACCGCCAAGCTTAGAGAAATTACTCAAGTATCCAGGGTCTCAACAACCTGTGAAGGTCAGTTCCCTGCCTTCCTGGGAGCTGCTCTGCCGTCTGTCCTTTGCTGGCCTTCATGCCAGCCACTGTTTATAGCTCTCCTGACCCAGGTCCAGTGCCTTGCAGATGGAGGCCTCCCGAATGGTTCCTTTCTACTCAAACTGTAGTCTCTTCAGAGACTAGAGTGCTTCACTTAGCCTTCGAAGGAGGAGACTCAGGTGACAGAGTTCAGAGGAGACAGAGCAAGGAGATTAAGAGGTCTAGGCTTCTGTTTCTTCATCAAACGGGTCAAAAAGTAACTGTGAAATGACCACAGAGCTAAAATGTGGCAACATGTGCAAAGTGCTAAGAACAAGGAGCCCGTCGCCCCCACCCCAGGTCACAACTGATGCCAACTATCATTACTGGTTCAATTTAAATTGTCTAATCCCCAGCGTCTAACCCTTGGAGATGCCTAATTAGCGTTTGTTGAATGGTTGGAGAATTAATAATGAAAAGGAGTTATTCTTGGGCTTGACCTGGTTTTAGAAAATTAATTATTCAGCATAAGCGCAAGAAAGGATTTTGATAATAGATATCTATGCTGAGTGAGGATTCAGGGACTCCAAACTGACCTGGTTTGCGAAAGAGGAGGGGACCAATACAAAAAATTTCTAACAACACAAAATGTGATTGCAAGCTGCTTCCAAAGCAGGGTAAGCCAGTTTCAAGGGCACCCAACTCATGATGCATGACCGTGCACACACGACCTTGTCCGGGTGCAGGTACTAACTATCCCTGAAGGTGGATAGAAGGACCCATACTCCAATACCCTGGACCGCACTGGCGTCCTAGACCCTAGGGCGTGTACGGAGGCGGGAGACAGGAATCTGGCGGCTGCCACGTGGGCCCCTTCCGCCAGTTCCCCACATCCTTTGTTTCCCACCGGCCGGGGCTCAGGAAGCTCTTTCTGCGAGTCACCGCGAAGGGGCGGCCCAGGAGCCTGGAGAAGCTATTTCCGTGCAATCCGGGCGGGCGGCGAGCGCGGGAGGGGCGTGGAGGTGGAGGCAGAGCAGAAGGCCCAGTGTTTGCTTTTATTTCATCCAACAGAAGGTTCTATTTGTGGAAGCGAACAGACGCTGGGGATTAGAGCTGGGAGGAGGCAGGAAAAGGAAAAAAAAAAAAAAGCCACATTCACTACCACGCACAGGTCTTCCCCGGAACTACCGCGTGGGGGTGAATGACTGATAATGAAATTCATCACCTTTCCTCTCGCCCCTTCCTCCGGCTGCAGCCGCGACTCGGCGGCGCCCACAGCTCCACCGGGAGCTCCCCGAGTGCAAAGCCGCGGGGAGGTCCCACCAGAGTAAAGGCGTGACCGCTGGGTTGCGGCCAGCGGCGGGTGCGGAGCCCGGAGGTGAGCGCGCCGGCTGGGAGCTCGAGATCCATTGTGTTGTGTGAATGATGCGCGCGCACCAATCAGCAGTCGTTTCGCCCCCGCCGCCCCGCCCCTCCCGCCCACTTCCCCGGCACCCTGACGTCACGGGAGCTTTTCCTCCGCCCCCTCCTTCGGCAACCAGCGCGGAGCCGGCGGGCCTGCGGTAGGGTGCGCGCAGCCTGCCGCCCAGCCTAGCCCGGGGGGCGTGTGTGCGCGCGCCCAGGACGTTCCCACCTGCGCCCCGGCGCGCGCTGTCGGGAGCATCCCCCGGCCTCCGGCCACCCCCACTGTCCCAGCTTCCAACTCCACTACCCCTCCCCCTAGTCTCCTCCCTCCGCTCCGGTGACTGTGAGCCGGGCGACGGGGCCGGAGTCGTCGCAGCCACCTCATTGCACAACCCGGCTTCCCAACTGTTTACACAGCCCGGCCTGTGAGTGTGTGTGAGTGTGTGTGTGTGTATACAGCGTGAGTCACCGGGAGGCGGAGGAGGTGGAGGAAAAGGAGAAGGAGTGCGCTGGCCGGGATCAGTGCGGCGCACACTCTTATTCAGTCACTCTCTCTGAGCGCGTCTCGCTCGCTCACACGCCCGGAGCCCAGGAGCGCGCAGGATCCCGAGCGGCGCGGAAAAGTTGTGCCGGCTTTTACTCAGGACTAATTGCTTTGGGAAGTGCGTTTGCACTGTGAAGTCGCCGAGCCTGCGGAATCCAGTCCTCGAGGCTCAGCACCCCGGAGCTCGGGCCGCCTCCACGTCCCGGACTAGCCACAGCTTCGGCAACAATAGCGGCCCCCGCCGCCAGCGAGGCGCCCAGACCTGGTGCCTGCGGGAGTCTGGGGACCCCAGCCGGCCTCCCCGCCTCGGACGCGTGGCCAGCGTGGTCCTCGTGTGTAACGCCAGCGGACACGAACGGCTCTCGTTTTGCTCCCCTTGGGGGCCGATCCAAGCCCCATCTGCAAACTCCATCCCGAGGGCTGGAAGAAGTCGCAGCGCCGATCCAGGGATTTACAAAGCCGGGGCCGCTCCGGCCAGGGCCGCGATGCGGGTCGGTCCCGTGCGCTTTGCACTCAGCGGCGCCTCGCAGCCCCGCGGGCCGGCTCTACTGTTCCCGGCTGCCCGGGGTACCCCGGCCAAACGCCTGCTGGACGCGGACGACGCGGCGGCCGTGGCGGCCAAGTGTCCGCGCCTCTCTGAGTGCTCGAGCCCCCCAGACTACCTCAGTCCCCCGGGCTCGCCCTGCAGCCCGCAGCCTCCGCCCTCCGCGCAGGGGACCGGCGGCAGCTGTGCGAGCGTACCCGGGCCCAGCCGCATCGCCGACTACCTGCTGCTGCCCCTAGCTGAGCGCGAGCATGTGTCCCGGGCGCTGTGCATCCACACCGGCCGCGAGCTGCGCTGCAAGGTAAGCATCCTGGGGCGGCGGTTGCGGGCCTGGGTGGTCTTTAGAAGTGCTTGGCTTCCGGCCCACCCGGATCACGCCCCGGCCAGAGCTTGGCTTTGGCAGGACAGATAAAGGGCACTGAGTCTGATAAGGGGGGATTTTGGTCAGTTTCGCCCTTTTGGGGGTAGAGAGGTTGGTTTCCTGTGGAGTGTTATGGTGAGGGTTCGGCGGTCTAGAGGAAGTGCAGGGTTAGAGTTCTTTCATCTCTGTTCTTTTCTTTGGCGCTCAGTGTTAGGTAGCGCGTGGCGTTCCATTTAAGTTTGGAATTGCAATGGATTCCAGGGCCATGCCATTGCCCTGCTCTCATCCCCCTCCTCCCCTTGTCCTGGAAGGACGCCCTGCATTGGGTGCCTCCTCCCGGCTTGGAGCAACTGGCAAGCTCTCCATCGGACGTTCACGGCACAGGCTCTGCGTAGACGGTGTTGGGCTTCTACCCAGGGGATTCTGGCTTGAACTCGGACTGGGGCCAGAATACAGCCCACCCCAGGGGGTGGCGGGAGGGGGGCTTAATTCTGGGAGGGGCTTCAGACCTGCGTGGGAGTGTTGAAAAGCTTCCAGGGGGTTCTCTTCCACTCGCTTTAGTTTGCGCCCGGCAATTTTCATTGCAACCTTAGGAGGAGTACAATTAGATACGAGATGGCCCGGCTCTCCAGGAGAGCGCGTAGCCGACGACGGTCTGCTCTTGCTGACCGGGACGCTCACACCTCCGGCCCACCCAGAGCCCCACCGACTCCTTTCATTCCCCCGATGTTAAAGTAGCTCCTGAGTTTCCAGCAACTCACCTGAACTCCCCCTCCCGCTTGCTGCTGCCACCTACTGTCCGCCCGCGTGAAATCTCAGATGCGAGGTCAAGCCCAGAGAAAAACTCTTTTCTTCTTGGTGGATGAGAGCAGTTTTGGGAGAGAAACTTATGTGGAGGGGTGGATGGGGCGGGAAGAGAGAGCAGCAGAGGGATTTCCCCCCCCCCCAAGCTGGTACCAGAGCAGCCACCTCAGAGGTGGGTGGGTCGGGATCATTGTGCAACCCCTTCCAGTTCCTCCGAGCAGATAATAGCTGAATCCAGATGGTGACAGCCCGTGTGTCACCATTTCCAGTTGCGTCTAGGATATGAGTAACCGGACTGAACAAAAGGCTCTTAAAGAGACCAGCCAGCAGCTCCTTAGAGCATTTGCTATCCATTCTGCTATCCGTTCTGGGGATGGAACAAGGCGGGGGGGGGCGGGGAGGAGGCCGGGCGGGAGGGGGCGTGTAAACGAACATGAAAACGGCTTCCAGAGGTGCCCATCCCCTGCTGTCAGAATGTCAGAAGCTAATTCGAGGCTGGCTCCACCTGAGTCACAGCCATAGGCAGGTTGCTTAAGGCAGCATGTCAGTCTCTCCCTCCAAGTCCTTTCTGACTAATGACAGCATTCCATGTTTGCTGCCTCTGCTTCCCCCTTGGAGGCCCCGAAGTCACCACATGTCATGACTGTGTTGTGCTGAGCCTTCTGGGTTTGCAGGAGACACGTGTGTGCTTTACCGTAGCTTTCCATCCTTGCAGGGATGCTGGGGTACAACCCCTTTGCCACCTTATAGTATAGCATTATCTATTAGGAAGATCTGCATCGGGCTTGGCTCCCAGGAGCTGATGGTCCCTAAAAGACAAAAATATATGTGGACGGTGATTCTTCCCATCATCCCATGGGCCCGGGTAGGCTTTGGAAGTTGCTACTCCAGATCCCAAGGTGTGACAGGTTTTAAGGGAATCATAGCAGCTGGAGCTGCGTTAAGTGGCGGAGAGAATGGACTGTCCAAAGCTTGAGAACATCAGCCCAGCTTTCTTGTAGGACCTGGCAGGCAGGCCCTGTCTTTGTGGCCCCTAAACAGGTCATTTTCTCTCTGCAGGTGTTTCCCATTAAACACTACCAGGACAAAATCAGGCCTTATATCCAGCTGCCGTCGCACAGAAACATCACTGGCATCGTGGAAGTGATCCTGGGGGAGACTAAGGCCTATGTCTTCTTCGAGAAGGACTTTGGGGACATGCACTCCTATGTGCGAAGCCGGAAAAGGCTTCGGGAAGAGGAGGCCGCCCGGCTCTTCAAGCAGATAGTTTCTGCCGTTGCCCACTGCCACCAGTCGGCCATTGTGCTGGGGGACCTGAAACTTAGGAAATTCGTCTTCTCCACAGAGGAGAGGTGAGCAGCTGCATCCCGGTCACAAAGAGCACCTCCTGTGGCCCTTTGGAACCAAAGAAAAATAAACCAAACCCGAAGTTACAGGTCATGCAGTTAGGTGCAAGCCAAATCAAGGCTCAGGTCTTGCCTGGTTTAGTATTAAGTCGTGCTTCTGGAAGTTCACGGTCAAGCTTGGTTCATTCCCTGCCCTATTGGATGGAGTGTAGCGAAGCGTAGAGATAGATACCTTGGGCCTTTTGTGGATGCTCCCTGGTGACCAGATGCCCGTCCTACTTCTTTCCCAGGCTCAGGCTTATTTCCTCTTGTCAGTCTTCTGGGGGTGAAAAGTGTTCACCTCCGGGAAAGCACTGACTCCAAGAGGTGGTCAAATGCTTGCTTCCACCAAGCCGCTCTGCTGTGCCTAGAAGGCATTGCAGAGCTGGGTAGGCTGTTGTGTTTGCAGAATTCCAGCCATCCCTACCACACTGCATTCCTGTGCTATTTTAGCCTAGCCCCCCCCCCCCACGCCTCGTAATGATTTGCTCACATTTTCTGGTGAGATTTTAGCCGTCTCATCGGCTCCATCTTCAGAAAATAACCGTATTGAATAATAAATGGAAGTTGGCTAGCATGCACTACTAAATATAGTTCTTGGCTTACCTCATAAAGGACAAGATGTGCTTGATAAGGGACCAAGGAGACATTAAGATTCGAAGTGGAGGTTTTACCAGGAGAATTCGGGAAGCTGTGTGAGACATCCCATACTTTGTTCTGTAGACAGACTGGGGAGATGGAGACTGTAGAACTGTCTTGTTTTGAGTGAGTGACTTCGTTGAATGAACATACCCTACCTGGTCACTTTTACCTTTAATAAAACCCCAGGGCCCCCTGAGAAAGTACAATGTTGAAGCCCTCAAAATACAAGTCAGCATCTGACCTTGCATTAGCCATTGAAACATACTGATTAGCAAAGAGAAGCAAACGTTTGCCATGAAGAAGCGTCCAGTTCCTGGAATGTGCCTCTCTGATAACACGCTGATGCTTCTTTTTGAAACATGTGCTACACACCCCCTCACTGGTTTTTGAAATCTGCATTGCACAGGCCAGTGTCATGGGTATAGGGTTTGGTAACCCGAGGGTTAAGCAACGGCAGGCTGACGCTATTCATGTAACCAGCACAGGTGCAGGGTTTTAGTACTACAGGAGCCAATCAGGGGCAGGCAGTGTGGGTTGAGTCATATTTTCCGTTTACAGAACCAATGGGTATTTTACATAACAGGGAGGTCACGCTGAGGACACACCGAAGTTAGCACATGTATACTACACACTCCAGGGAACAGGAAGGCTGGAAAAGAGAGGAAAAAAAAAAAAAAAAAAAAAGAAGAAGAAGAAAGAAACCAGACCTTTGAGAGGAAAAGGAATTGACCAAATGTTTGCATGTAACTTCACAACAAGTGACTTATTGAAATAGGTCTGTTTCGGAGAAGCAGGCACCGGAAATTAGAGGCTCCCCACGTGGCTGTGAGGGATCTGGGAGATTGTGGGTGGCTGGTTCTACATAAGGAGGCACCTGCGGCTTTGTAAGCATTCCTTTGACCAAAGGTCTTCTAGATTATAGTTTCTTTCCATTTTAGCCTTTGTTTCTGTGCTTTCCTTTACATTGTCCACTGACTTCTTCAACAGTGAGTCCTCACAAAACAGAGACTCGTATAGGATACATTGTACATTCATCTGCAGTCCGTTTAGGGACCCTGTAGTCCTCAGATCTATTGTGTTTCTTCACATAATTTCTCTGTCTTAGCTAAGTAAGTGTTCTTACAGTAAGACAGCCCAATAAATATAATTAAACAGTCCTTGCAACTTTCCTATTGTGGTTGTTGCATCTGGTGAACAAAATTTCCTTGGTGTGGGCAGTAGTGTCAACTGGCCTGGGCAGTCAGTGTGTGGCAAGAGACTAGTGGCCTGTAGGAGACATAGGCCCTACCTGAGGAAGGAGGATACATGTGTTTGCTTTCCCCTGACAGCTTCCATAGAACATGCCAGTCTTCCCCCTGAAACCAGCTCTCCATTCTGCAATGTGAACTTTGTCCATTGTGTAACCCTATTAGGATATCTCTTACAAGCTCTAGCATCATGAATGTTATTTGAGACTTTGCATCATACCCCTCCGCCCCAGGCCTCTCAATACTTTGCAAATATTTATTGCAGTTTGTATTGGTTTGTGAAATCACTGGTCTTGGGTGCTTGTAGGCCAGCCCTTACTGGATGAAGGGGTAAATGACATTCCTGTGGCCTTGGCTGTGAGTGCCTGTGGGCACTGTTATTGGAAAGGCCTTGTTTTTCTGTAGCAGCTGGTCTGAAAGTAATCGTTCCATTGCTCTCTCCCACAGAACCCAGCTTAGGCTGGAAAGCCTGGAAGATACACACATCATCAAGGGTGAAGATGATGCGCTGTCAGACAAGCATGGCTGCCCAGCCTATGTGAGCCCTGAGATCCTCAACACTACTGGGACCTACTCAGGGAAGGCAGCTGATGTTTGGAGCCTCGGGGTGATGCTCTATACACTTTTGGTTGGACGATACCCATTTCACGACTCAGACCCGAGTGCCCTTTTCTCCAAAATCCGCCGTGGACAGTTCTGCATTCCTGAGCATGTTTCCCCCAAAGCCAGGTGTCTCATCCGTAGCCTCCTGAGACGAGAACCTTCCGAGAGACTCGCAGCTCCTGAGATCTTGCTCCATCCCTGGTTTGACTATGTCTTGGAACCAGGGTATGTTGACTCAGAAATGGGAGCTTTGGACCAGATTGTTCCCGAATACCAAGAGGGGAATGACATTAGTCCCTTCTTGTGCTAATCCCAAAAACAACCTCAGAAACCTCGTGACTCTCACACATGGTATTTCCATTTCTAATGGGCAGGCCCTCTTACACGGTGCCAGCTAGATGTGGGGACAGCGCACTATTGTCCCTATGGGGCTCAATGTGGTGCCACCTCTCTGGGCTGAGTGACCTGATTTGAGTGTCACATACTCAGATTAGCTCCTCGGCAGGGGTGTCCCCTTCTCAATGAACATCTTGACTGTCCCAGCGTCAGATACAAGGGCGCCCGCCGCGTGTTTGGAAGCTAATGGGAGCAAGCGTATGGCCATCCCACGTGGGGGTGTGTAATGAACTTGAACATTTGAATGGAAAAGGAAGCACATGGCACAGTGGCATTTTAACAAGGTGGCAAATCGTTTGGGGCGACAGACCTGCCATCTTTGAACTTGTCTTTGAACGCCCCAATTGCTGCTGTGGTTTCTCCAACCAGAAGTTTTTCTTTTTGTAACCCTCGCCCTGGCTGTACACTCACCCGTGACTGCCCCGGTGCTGGGACAGATGGAGAAGCTCTGGAGCCTGCCCGAACCCAGACTGTTCCCCAGAACTTGCCAAGACCTCCTATGCAATAATGCCGCGCCCCTCCCCCCACCCTGGAGCCTGTCCTCTTCAGCTATGAAAGCACCCACCGGCTAATCGTGGAAAAATATTGGGAGATGCAAACTCCTGGCTGATTCGGAACCTTTGAGCTCTGTCAGAAGCAATGTTTTTGTTTTGTTTTTTTAAATTAATTTGATCACTTGGTATCTGTTAGCTCTTGAGGCGCTCGTCAAATATAGCATTTAGCCTTTGCCCCTCACCCCGAAACCATCTCCGGGTGGAACATTTTGTGTGTGAGGACAAGGGTGCTCTCTCAGGAGCATATGTGAACCGTCTTTAGGCTTTAAAGAAAGCCAGCCTTGGAAAAGTCTCAGACATCCAGAATGAAACTGGACCCCCGCCCTCCGGTGGGATGCTGTGCCCCTGGTATCCAGGGTCTTCAGCTCCCTGTCATGGGCTCTTTGGACTTTACGTGTTGTGTGGCTTGTGAATCCATCTGTGATGCTGGCTTTGGAGGGACAGAGTGAACCTCGGAGATGTAGCTGGAAAGGACTTTTAACATCCACCCCGTGGAAATTCTGCCTTCTTGCTGCCTGCCAGGAATCCCCTATTTCAACTTCCTTCCACAGGTGGGAACCCAGCCTTGGCCTGAATGCTGCTGGGGATGGAAACAGTTACTCCTTGCAAGAAATGAAGCTTCTCAAAGAAGCTGCCAGAAGTTGCATTAAAAAACAAAACAAACAAACAAAACCAGATGAAATAGCAGTCACTGTCTGGGACAGTGCTGAAACTAAGTGGTTAAACGGGTAACAAAAATACTGTATTTTGAGAAATAGCATAGAAGCAGGCGGGCATCTTCAAGGGCTATGCCTAGGCAGACTACTAACATTGTGAGAATGCCTTGTATACCTCACGTACTGTGTACTTTATATTTGTACATACATTTTACCTTTTATACATATGTCCAGTTGTTGTTGTTTGACTCCGAGGCTTGTTTTGTCGTCTGTGTCTGTGTGAGGAACCTGTGTGTCCAGGGCCATGTGAAATGTGAATGGTTGTTGGCCGTACGACCTTGGCAGGATTGTGGGACTTGGGGAGGAGCAGGGACAGGCCCCTGTTGGGGTTGCCCAGCTCTTGTATCAGTGATAGGTTCCCTGGCCTGGGCAGCTGGAAGCACTAGGTCTCCTGTGCGAGTGTGAAAAGTGATAGTGGCACACTGTTGGTGACTTATAGAAAACTTTTAATAAATCCGGTTTCGTAAAGAAGTGTGCCGAGTCTCCTTTGTGTGCACGACGCCTTCCCGTAGCTGTCACAGGCCACAATGAGATGGTTTAGGGTTTGACAGAAGACAGGAGAGCCAGGCAGCTATGGTTTGGTTGTTTTTGTTTGTTTGTTTGACAAGATCTTATATAGCTCTGGTTGGCATGTGATTTGCAATGTAGACCAGGCTGGCCTTGAACTCAGATCTTCCTGTCTCTGAATTTAAAGGCTCGTGCCAGTATGCCAGCCTGGAACCTGCTTTTTTGTGTGTATGTGACACTGAGCTTGTACACTTTAATTGGTGGGATCCATTTGCAAAATGAGGTTGGTGTGCGGTATGGGCTGCTTGGAAGCATTGAATTTTTTTTTTTTTTTTTTCAAGACAGGGTTTCTCTGTGTGGCTCTGGCTGTCCTGGAACACACTCTGTAAACCAGGGTGTGCTGGAACAGAGATCTGCTTGCTTCTGCCTCTCTAATGCTGGGATTAAAGGCATGTATCATCACTGCTACCCGGCTTGGTTTTTGTTTTTTGGGTTTTTTTTTTTTTCCCTAATGTGGATTTTTGAGTTGAAGAATTAGCTGGCTTTTGATAGGTGTGGATGGTTCATACCTGTCTTGTCATCCCGATACTTTGAAAGCTGAGACAGGCAAGTCAAGAGTTCAGGACCAGCCTGGGCTATTTAGCAAGAATGTTTCAAAAACAACAAAAAGAATTCTCTGGCTTTTAGCGTTTTAGGTTAGGGAAATGGAGACTTTGAGAGAATACCCCAGAAGAATGTCACAAGTCTCCAAACAGAGCTTTACTACCTTCGCTCATCTTGATAGATGTAGGTTCCAGAAGACATTGTACCTCCAACTTTAGACCTAATTATAGTAAGAATAATGACATTTCTTCCCACCCCTGCCCACTCTGTAAGTATAAATATGAAGGCAAGGAAAGACTGCTTAGAAAACATTGACCTGGCACAGAGTTAAGGAAGATGGCTGAGTTAGGTTTCTAGCTGCACTGTGTCTCCAGAATCTCTTAACGAATCAGATTGATTAAAACTGTGAGTAAGAGGCAGGGAGGGACTCAAAATTCTCCTCCCAAGCTGAGGCCCTGCAGGTGGTTGGTGGCCCCATGCCCATGGACAGCAAAAACTGGGATCTGGGCTATTCAGAAGATAGAAAATCAGGGGGGCATTTAGAGGGCACTGGTGGTAAATCTGGGGAGAAGTGGGGGGTGGGTGTGATCAAAATCTATGCAAATCCCTTTATCCCGTCACTTGGGAGGCAGAGACAGGTGGATCTCTGAGTTCCAGGACAGCCAGGGCTACACAGAGAAACAAAACAACATATGTATTTTTGCAAGTCAACTATGAGATTCTCAAAGGTAAGCAAAGCCACAGAGCCTGGGAAATGACTCTTGAATAGGTGCCTGCTGCAAAGCCTGACAACTTTAATTTGACTCCCAGGATCCACCCACCCCGTGAGAGAAGGGAACTGACCTTGACCTCCATACACTGCTGTGTGTAGGACAAGTCACCATACACCATGTCCAGTGAATTCTCATAAAGACATACAGAACAGGACCTGGGTTCCCAGGCTCTGTCTATCCCTGCTTGGCACTGGTTTCCAAGGCACCCACTATGGGATGCAGTGTTTCCTGTTTTGGTTGTTTGTTTTTAATAATTGACTTGTTTAAGACAGGGTACTACTATTGTAACCCAGGCTGCCTTTAAACCCAGCCCTGCCTCAGCCTCCCAAATGCTGGGGTTACAATGTGGGCTAGTGTGCTTGGCTCATGAGATAGATTTTTTTAAATTAAAAAAGAAAGTGAGTATTATATACATGAGTGCTGACTGTATGTACACCATCTCTACCCTTTTACCATATTCCCCAATTCTCTCTCTTCTCAAACCCACAACCTTTTCTTTAAGTGTTGTTAACACACACACACACACACACACACACACACACACACGTAAACACAATCCGATGAGTCCCTTTAGCAGTGCTATTCTGTGTGTATGTTTAGGGCTGGCCGCTTGGGATTGGATGGCTCTAGATTTTCTGATGAGATGAAATTTTAACAAGACAGGCGTATGAAGCCTAACTGCCAGCTCTGGGCCCACATTAGAAACTTGGCAGAAGTGCCAGGGGACGCTTCTTTGTCCTTTGCTAGCATTCAGCTAGCTGTAACGTAGGAAAACAGACCCCTGCTATCGGAGTCATTGTGGCGTGGCTCATGGGACCCGGGAACCATAAAGAACGGAGAAAGAACAAAAAGTCAGAAGCCGTGTGGGAAATGAGCAAACGGCTAGGATGCTGGCCAGAGCGTGGTGGTACGTTCTTCTAATCCCAGCACTTGGGAGGGTGAGCCAAGAGGATCAGGAGTTCAAGGCCAGCCTCAGCTACATGAGACCCTCGAACCCCAGAACCCAGTGCTGCAATGCCTCCTGGTTCCAGGGACCCAGGCTGGCTTGGTGTAACCCCTTGGGCACACAGAGTGAATACTTTGGACTTCCCTAGCTTTAATCTGAGGATTTCAAAACACTGCAAGCAATTAAGGTTACAACATCCCTTTGTACTGTTGTTACATGCATGTATCAGATGAGAAATATGGGTCAGGATTGGCCAGGCTGATGTGATATCACAGACACATACATTTAATCTCCTGAGAGCAGATCAGGGGACAGCTACACCCACCTGGCTGAGAGAAGGTGGCCATGAGTGGGTCACTGGCTTTCATTTTCTCTTGTGTCCTTTACATACCTGCCATTTGAGTAGGTCATAACATACTCTCTGTAAGTCCTGGAATAATGCTCTCTCTCTCCTCTCTCTCCTCCCCCTCCCCTGTGTGTGTGTGTGTGTGTGTGTGTGTGTGGGTCTTTCTCCTCTCCCTCTCTCCCCCCTCTCTCCTTCCCCCTTCCCCGTGTGTGTGGGGTGTGTTGGCATAGGCTGACACTGTACTCAACCCCCCTGCCTCAGTCCTGTGATGGCTTGGGTTTACAGGTGTGTGTTATTACACTTGGAACTTTCTAGAAGTTTTATTCTTCCACCTCACTTTTACTCACAACACACTTTCTAGAAGTTTCCCTCTTTTTGAGCACACACCAGTTGAGTAAACTAGGCAAGCCAAGGGTTTTCCTGTCTTATGATCGAGAAAGTGAAGGTTCAAGTGTCTTTCAGTAGCCGCTCGGGAGGAGGAGCCAACTCATAGCTAGGACATGAATTTGGCCCCTTAGACTCCATAGCCAGTGTTCTCAGCCCACATACCACCACCGTACAGTCTCCTGGTAACAAATGACAATGAAAACTGCTTTTGAAACAAATAATCCAAACGCCGCAGCCTTCAGCTCCATTAATAGCTTCGGAAATAATTTGGTGGTATTAGTAATAAACACAGAAGCATTAGCAAAAGAACGAGGGCTCCACGGTTCACTCAGCAGGCATGTATTGTACCTACCTTGAGCTAGACATGCGGTGCACTGTAGGAAACTGTGGCTGAGACTCGGGGCTAGCTTTCTGGGAGAACCCAGTGGCCAACAACCGCTGAAACCCCGCTCTTCTGTCACCGAGCACAGTGCCTGCTGAAGGGGAACGCCAAATGCCATGGATGGGTGAGTGGGTGGGTCATGGGAGGACTGAGGGATGGATGGATGGATGGATGGATGGATGAGACCCTCCAGCAGCCCAGAGCCTAGCCGTCCTCCATGTCAGAGAACCATGAGCATGGCCATACAGAGCTCGGGACCATGGCCTCATCCCATGGCCGAACAGTTTGCTGTTCATACTGTCTGTTAAGCAGGAGTGACGTGGTTTGATTTCGCTGGTCCCTCCTGCTGTTGTTTTGTGGTTCTGTGGAAACAGAATCCTACACCAGAGCTGCTGTGGGAACAGTCCTGTGCTTCCTTTCAAAACCAGACCCAGGCTGAGTGCTGGGTTCCTTGCCCAATACCCTCCTGGATGAGGAAAGCTGCTGTAGCAACCAAGGTGATGGCATTGGCTTTTCCACATGGCTCTGGCTGGGAAAGGGAGGACAATGCGTAGTTAATCATCAGCTCCTCCCAGAAAGTAAACAAACAAGCAAGCAAAGGGGACAGATCCCAGCGACAACCCCTGGGAACCAGCACTAGGGCCTTCCTTAGTGATCTCAGCTGCGGTGACTTCATAGCTCCTGCCAGAGGAGGAAGGAGACAAAGCTCTGCACCTAGCAAGCATGAGGCCTCAGGATGGATGCCCAGCACCGCACAAGCAGGACTCCGTGATGCATGCATGTCAAGCCAGCAGTCAGAACTTAGAGCTCATCTGTGGCCACATGAGGAGGTCAAGGACAGCTTGGGATACGTGAGACCCTGTTTCCAAAATAAGAGATATGGTAGAGGAGAGGGTCACAAGGAAATGGCTTCGTGCTAAAAGCACTAGCTTCCAAAGCTGGGTGACTCCAGTTTGCTCTTCAGAACCCAGATGCTGTCATCTCCTATGGCAAGGCGGTAGGCAGGGGCTGGAGAGCCTAATGGGTGGGCTAGCCTGGAGTACCCAGCATGGTGGCCGGAAACTGGAGAGAGATTCTTCCCAAAAAACAAGATGGAGTGGGGAAGGGGTGGCACCGGCCCTAAATCCTAGCATGCGGGAGGCAGAGCTTCTTCCCAGCACTTGAGGGGCAGAAGCAGGCAGCTCTCTGTCAGTTTGGGGCCAGCCTGGACTGCAGCATCAG